AGGAGGTTCACACTCTTTGTCGGATGTGAAGCTAAAATGCTGCAGCCCGTGAAAGCAACCTTGGAAGACAACCACGGCCAGTTCAGATACGCACGTTTTCCCCAAAGAAACTATTTAGCAAGACATTGAGCAGTTCTGTGTTGCGGAAATGGCTGTTGTCTCCTGCTAGGATTGACCGAGACTCAAAATCCCGCCAAAACAAAAGCACCTCAATTCTGTGCGGGTCTTCCCTTTCTAAAGCTTTTGCCAGAGCAATTGCATCTAAACACAATGCGAGCGATGCGAGACGGGAAGCTGTACATGATATGCGTTTGCGTTTCACATGGCTGCTTCCAACCCATCTGCTGCCAATCCCTCCAGTTGAGGATAGAACACGACTGTCCTCAAGTCATCTCAAGTTGACAGGGACCACAACACATCCGTCTGAACCCCCAGTCATGTGTCTGGGATCTTGCCAACCAACTCTTACAGTCTATCCTGCCAACATTGTGCGAGTCCACCCGCCAGGTCTCCGCACCTCGCCAGCTTCAGGAAGTGCCTCAGCTCTGTCTCGGCTGCCAAGGTGCCCAGGGCAGACCTGAGAGCGGCAGACGGCGGAGGAAGTGCCCCCTTGATTCATAAAGTCCAGTCTGCCCATATGGAAAAGGGCGTTGCAATCCAAATGGGGGAGGTTTGATTAATCAACAGTTTACATTTAGCAAACGAGCAAACCGGGCATTTGAGAAAATGGGACAAACAAACATCCTCTGTTCTTTTCGAGGTGGGTCATGAACCTCTTAGCAATGATGTGTTTTGTTTTGAATTGAGCCACTCCTCCAAACCTATAAATAATTGAAACGAATCACACGAATCCAAACCCTCTTGGACCTACAGGAGCCTCTCGTTTCTCAGGTGTCGTTTCAAGTCCCCCTCGTTCACCCAATTTTATCTTTCAAAGCATCCCTGCCTTTCAACTGTTGAACAACATACCTATCCCCGAGGCCGAACGCATTGACCAACGATGTTAGTGTCCAGGGGCGATCCAGCATGCTCCGGATCATGCGACCGTGGGCTCAACATCGCGATGCGACCGTGCTGTGCAGCAATTGAATTGGCGTCACAAAAACAGTATAGTTTTTCCCACTTTTCCTTATTGGTTTCTGAACACAGGGCGGCTGTTCCACCAACCGAAAAAAAAATGAAACCTGCAAAGGATCCTCCCCCTTTAAGGGTTTGATGCATCAATGCACAAAAAACAAGAATGTTCGACAATGTCCTGCATGTATTTTGAACAAAAAACTTGCGAAACTTCCAAAGTTGAAAGTGACTGTACTCCCTGTTTTTCGATGCCAACACAGTTTCAGCAATAATTGGATTTCCAAACCTCATGTTCATTGCACATAAGGACACAATTAGCTGAAGGTTTTAGTTCTCAAACGACAGGAGTCATGAATGCTTCAGATGTTGAAGCCGCTATGACCCTGGACATGCGCAAGAAGCAAACAAACAACTATTCAGAATTTTTCCAAAAACAAAGGTGAATCAACAAAAAACAACACAAACAACAACCTGCTGCGTGGACAACCATGTTTGCGATGACATATTCAGCAAACAATATGCTGTTCTCGTTCGTTTTCTGCAGCCGGTTTGGTCATGTTGGTCATACCAAAAAATTTTAACATGCCTGTGCAACACTTTTTTCGGCTGATGCGGGCCTAAAACCAACTTGAGAAGAGGGATGCACGAAAGGTAAAACAGCGGGAGGATAGAAGCATGTAAAATATGCAGTATGGTGTTGGTGGAGTCGAGTCAAACGTGAACTTGAAAGTGATAGAAAACACCAAAGCTTGAGATGTTTATACATACAATCTTTATTCCCGAGACCGGCTGCGAAGGATTTTTTTCAAAGGCAGATTCCTTCATCATATTCTTTCATCACATGCCTACAGCATCAAGATAAAAGCAGTATCACACGAGCGTAATCATACAAGTCTTATCACATGAGCATCAAAACATGAGCACCAAGACAATCAAGACAAGAGCAGCATCACGAGCGCAATGACAAAAGTCTTATCACTTGATCACATGAACATCAAGACATGAGCATCAAGCTAAGAGCATCATGACACGAGCGCAATATCAAAAAATGAGCATCATAACACAAGCATAATCATACAAATCTTATCACACGAGTCTTATCACACGAGCATCTCCAGCCATATCTCAAAGTCTTTGTTCTATTCTCTCTTAAAGCGGGAGGCGCAGACCAGGCCAATCGAGAGACGAACCTCTTCGAAGATCGTGCGTGTCATATGTTCAAACGTGAGGGTGCTTTGCAATTTTTTTGGGGGGCAACCCTCTGCAGAGATCTTGCTCAGTTTTTGCTGCTTTTGACAAAAACAGCGTTCGCTCCTTTTCAAGCGAAGCGGGCTTGGGCCACTCTGGCCGCGGGTTCAAGTTGAAGTCTCATGTGCATGGATGCGGTGGAAATCTCTGTCACCCCACCTAAAAAGTTGCAGTCTCCACTGCAATCCTTTTTCTCAAATTTTTCCTTCCATCGCGTACCGAGCTACGCGCTCACGCCAGTTGTCTTCCCACTGACGTGACATTACTGCCACGCACCAGGCTGAAAAGCCTGTCTTGTACTCATCATCCCATCCCAAGGCATGGTCGAACCTCAGGAATGGGTACCACTCTCCGAACTTGCAGGTCAGCCTTGCCTGCACGTATTGGGTGAATTGTTCTCTTGAGAACAAACCTGTTGTCAGCAATCTTCGAGTTCTTCCTTCCTCATCTTCGCTCAAATATTGAATGCAGTTTTCAAGTTTGCTCCAATCAAGGGCTTCGGGTGGTTCATCTCTCTCGTAGGCTTCCCACAAGTAGTCATCATCTGGCAAAGTTGTGCCTTCTTCTACAGGCACATCACTGTAGGCTCTGTTGCTCTCATCCACTTCCATGTCTGCTGCTCCGGCCTCCTCATCTCTTTCTGATACCCATGAGTTGGGCTGAGCACGAAAAATTCTTCTCCACTTTCGGCATCATTACCGGAATTCAAAATCCGGTACGGTCGTAGCCGTTGCAGCACCGGGTCCCAATGCGTCAGGTACTGCTCCACTGTCACATCATCTCGGCTTTGACTTCTCTCTTCTTCTTCCTCTCCTTCACCTTCTCTTGGTCTTCGTCGTCCTCTGCTTGACTGTGAGACTTCTTCTTCTTCATCAAAGCTCCCTTCTGGACCTTCGTGCAGGTGGTGGTTCTCGAATCCACTCACCACCGGCTGCTGCAACAGAAGCTCTCACTGCCCATTCTCTCAGGTCTAGCCCAGATCTTGTCGGTTGCTGGTCTTCATCTCTGTAGAAGTCAACAAACCAGTCCCCTTGTATGTAGGGCTTGACCTTTCTGAGCCATCTTGAAATCATCTTCCACTTGGTGTAGCCAACCCGCATGCCAAAGCCAATCACCAGGATCGTGTAACTCACAAACATCAAGATGTAGGTTAGCCATTCAACGATCTGAAAAGTCTGGCTCTTGTTCTCATCAACTGTGAAATTTTCTTCACATCCATTTTCTTGTTGTCCATAGGCTCCGGGGTTGAGAAGAAGCAAAATTACCATCTTCACCATTGACTTTGAAACTTTCACCTTTGTCTCGCTCTTCTCCTCGACCAAGGCGGAAATCATCTCACTTCTCACCTCCTTCATCTTCAAGGCCAAATTCTTCTTTCTCACCTCCTCATGGAAAGTCTCTTCACCTACATGGCAAAAGAACTGCTCGGCACCTTCCACGTTCATCTCCATCACACCTATCAAGTACATCAAAAATTCTCTTCTCTGGCGTGACAAACCAAATCAGCCATGTTCCACAGAGTAGGAGTTCCTTCCATTCTGAGGGTTTTCTTCTTGACCTCCAACTGCATCCACAAGTATCTTGCGTCGATGTGCTCAAAACGGCCGACACCGGAGAGACTCCGTGAAAGCTCTGCGTGATGAGCTGTCCGAAAAACTCCGGGTAGCAACCTTACACGGTAGACTACCTACCTCCCCTGGATCTTTAGCTCACAACAGGCTCTCTCACACTCGTCCGGTACGGTACGAAACCTTTCTCTCAAACCTCCGAATACTTCGGAAAACTTCAAACGCTGCACTAGCTGCTCTCAGACACTCGCACCCTTTTCTCACACTAGCCAAACGAATTGGCCTTGAGCCAAAACATATCCCGTAGCACTAAACTATACAAAGAATACACGAAAACATATTAAAAGTCTCTTCTTGCATCTCCACACACAAAGAACTCTTTCAAAACTTCCGACTACGCTACAAGTCGCTTTCAAACAATTAAGAAACAAAATGTTGTACTACCGCCAGGTTCCAAATCTTTCACAAACAAACTTAAACAAAATTTAGGCATCGCAAACTGCAAGCATCGAGCGAGGTGGACATCCCGACATGGAATTTCTTCACCCCCTCTTGGACACAAAGCTCGAAACAAACTGGCTGGCTTTCAGCCTTCTTATTCTTCTTCAATGAGGACAGACATTTAGCACAAATATCTTTCGACATAGGTACATGCATGCCCGAGCAAGTTGGATTCAAATGAACCTTGCTCCCACTCACTGAAAAATACACTTTTGAGCATTGCTCAATGCCTTTTGGAACTGGATAGCTCTTCGGCATATCGACTTTAAAAGTCACTTGGCTCTCAGGCTCAGCATGCTTCCGACACCGCAGGCAGCAGCAGGTCAGCAGGCATCCCAAAAGAAAACCGGCTGCAAAGACCAAAGCGGTCGCTGCTTCCAGGCTCAGCATCGCAAGCGCCGTTTCCGCATCCGGCATCATACCTCGGATGGTATAAGCTTCCTTCCAAGAAAAGCTGTATCTCACAGTCTGCAAAAAACCAAGATTCTTTCGAAATGTGCAATCGAAAGTGCTCGCAAAAAACGTGCCATTCAGCTCAGACAACGTGCAAGACTTACTTGGCTATTATGATTCTAATTCGGCTTTAAACCCTTTAAGGATTAGCTCGCAAAATCTCCTGGGGTAGTGTTGCGTTTCCTTCCAATTGACTTCCTTGGATGGCAAATGATCATGACGACCATCACAAACGCAAACCTTCAGGCTTTCCAACAACCGAGTACTATCTGTCTCAATCCTCCAGGTCTTTCTGACCAACTGACCTTTCTGGTTCAACTTGACTGAACAAGCATCCACAAATGTTGAAAACGTCTTTCGTTTCCTCAGAAAATCTTTAGTCTGACTCCATCCCCAATAAGCACATCTCTTCGGCCATTCAATCGCTACGAAATCGGCTACTTCCGACATCCGTAAGAAACCTTTCCATAGCTTCTTCTGTATCTGGTACAACTCTCGAAGATGACCCATATAGTCCTGACCAAACTTCTTGATACAAATGTACTGAAACGGACATCCTCCTGTACACGGAATTGACGACCACAAGACGACAAGCTTTCCTCTCTTCCGATGGCTTATCATCTGCTCTCGAATTGACTCGATCGTGTCCGATCGGGTTCCGTCATCCGCCTCAGTGACAGTCAAGACTTCAACACCTTCCGTACGGCTTCCGACTTCTTTCATCTCGGACTCCGGTGATGTGCAAAACTCAACAATCAGGATTTCAGTATATGTGACCTTATCCATAACCCACAACCAATCTCCCGATCCAGTCATATGGCACTTCAAATGACATGAGAAATGCTCTGACAACTCCGATCGTCTCCATGTGTTGCAAAGTCACAGCTCTCGACAATGCCTTGGTCATCAAGTCGGCGCAATTCTCGGTACCTCGGACAAAACTGATGGAAATCACACCCTTGTAGACTGCATCTTGCAAAAAACAGATCCGAATGTCTATATGTCTTAATCTTCTCAACAACCCTGACATCTCTGTGACATTTCGGGCTGCCATCGAATCCGTAAGCAAACCTGGAATGGGCAATTCCTCAGCTTGACATCCATAGACATGTGCCACGGCATGTTGAATACCTATAGTCTCTTTCGCTCCTTCGAACAAAGCATATAGCTCTGCCTCGGCTGAACTACAGGCTACACTCTGCTGCAACCTACTGAATGCTTTGACACAACAGGCACTAACGAAGATGGC